GTTAAAAGGATCATGTGGCCCACTAGCCGGACTAGTTCCCCTCACAATTAACAGTACCAATATAATCTAGTTTAAGGCTAATGCTAAGAAATTCATAAAATCATACCTATTCCTAATAAAAAGGTAAATAATATATCTAAACACACACACACCCACTTGCTCTCTCTCTCACACAAACACACACTTGCATCTTGGAACAAAAACAGTCAATATGGAATATTTTGAAATTTGAATGAGCTCCACAAAAGAAATCAGAGTAGGGTATACATTAATTATTTTAAAGGGTTAATGCACTCCCATTAATAGTAAGTCTCATAAGATAATAATTGGGGAACATTGGCCCTTTTAACAATTGCCGTATGCCCAAGTCTGATTTTTTTCACACTTCATTTGAATTTCAAAGTTTTGGACACTAGCACTTTTTATTTTAAGCTGTCAAATATAAAAAAATCATTAAAAAAATGCATTATTTTTTTAATTTTTAATTTTTTATATCATCTTATAGGTATAAAATTATATATCATATATATTTTTTTAATATTTATAATAAAGACTAATGTTAAGAAATATGATCAACATTAAAATTTATAAATTAATTCATTTTACAAAATTATATATAAAAAATATATAATATAAAATAAAAAGTGATGAGAGGTGCTAATTTTGTCTAGGAGTTTATATATGTATTGTAATGATAAACATTGAGTGTAAATTTATATTGAATATTTTTTTAGATTTAATTAAATGGGATTGATGAGTTTATGTTTTTATTATGTTATTTTCGGAATGGCAACTCATAAGTTAAAAATATTAAAATTTCAGAGATAATTATTTTGGATATACTATTCCATTTTTATTATTATATTTAAGTAAATTTAAAATAAAATATGCTGTATGGAAGTGAGGTTTTTAGTATTTTTAAAAAAATTATACATCAAAAGTTGTGTGTTTAATATGAATATTTGTTACATAATAACAAAGGATAATAAGAGTCATTGTTATTATTTAAATGGCAGAGTGAGAAAAAGAAAGATAGTGTCATTAGCAGAGATGCTCAAAATATGACATTTACTTTTTCCAAAAACAGCACTAAAAAGTATGGCGAATAGCATTTATTTTTGCTAGTTATGAAACTTATTTTTCTGAAACGTCTATGAAAGGAAAATAATTACTTGTCATTTTAAATCATACTACTTTATTATAAAACTATGGTAAATGGCAAGTACAAAAATGGTATATTCTATGGTATAATATGATATTTAAAAGACAAAATACATTATTTATCTCTTACTAAGAATTAAATATATTCATTCAATAAAGCTTTAAATACTGTTAATTATTAGCGAAATCACTGGAAGTTGCTGTTTAATTTGTATTTTGAAGGTTAAATCAGGGAAAAATTAAGAAAATAATTATTTACCAATGTTCTTGGGATATTTAGGAAAGATAGTGTAAAAAGAAAAAAAAAAAAGCGTCATATTAAGGATTTTTGCTGCCTATCAACTACTGTTCGTTGTTCGCTCAGACAATATTTTAATTTTGAAAATGTCCTCTACATGTCAGCCGATGTTTCCAGATGTATTTCATGGTAAGAACTTCTGCAAGCCACAGAATCTATATGTATCAAACAGTAGGCAAATAAATTTTAAATCCAATATTATAAAGGCATGAGGTTAAGAAAGGATGCGTAGAAAGAGGTGTACCTGCCAATATAAAAAAAAAAACGGCTCTTTGTCAAAGTAAACCATGTCAGCTACTACTTGACAGTTCATAAAAAAGGAAAGACTATTGGATCAGCCTAAGAAAGAGAAGACTTCATAGCAAGATCGTCGTCTGAGGAAGCATTAAACTAAACTTGAGTGAAAAAGTTAACTTTCCTAGGTAATGTTTATTGTTAACCTTTCCAAGAAAAAAACCATAATTGACAGTGACATGAGTCAGTCAAAATAATATTATACTAATAGGCTACTTGGAAATTTCTTTGAGAAGACCTATTAACTTGCTAAGGCCTACTTCAGGACATCGATGGGTCTGGACAGTTTAAACAATTTTAAGAAATACAAGCCCACTGAAAGAAGAGGGAGTCCAAAGATCTTGAGAGGAAGAGATGAAGAATAAGTATAAATTCTTGTGGAGATAGAGAAATGAATGTTTTCTTTATGATTTAGATTTAGGAAGCTGCAGCTTGATTTTCACTGTATCTAGGAAATGGCTTTGACTGGAGGAGAAGAACCAGGACCACAAGATAGAATTTAATAATGACAACCGAAGATAAGACTCTACTCGTAGATCGCATAACAATCCCAGCTTATCACAACAGAATTTCATTAGCTAATATCTCTCATGTGCAATGGTTCAAATCAATAGTAAACTGATGTTGAAATATTTTGTGGCTATATCTCAAATGAATTATATATTAGATTATTTATTAAATTTATTGAATCATACTCTTATTTGGAGGATTGTTGTAAATATCATTTGTATATTCATCTTCATTCCCTTACTTAGTATATTTTAAATGAATAAATTAAGTTTTTTAACAAGGTCATTGTTAATATATACAACCTAAGTATACCATAATTAACACAGGTAATGATGGTAATTAGAAAACTGATAAACACAAACCAACCTTTGAAAAGGTAATCCAATTAAACCTGGATCAAGTAGTGTATAAGCAGCAATCCCACAACTTTAGGAAGATATTGACAGAATCTGTGCTTGAGAAAATGCCGAGAAGACGAAAGGTATCCTTATCGAATCTTCCACACTCATAAAATCCAATCCTGCACCTCTCAATCTTCTCCTAAACAACTGGCCTATTTCGCTCCAAAATTCCGTTAAAAACCTTGGTGTTATTTTTGATCAAACCCTCTCCTGGAAACCACACATCTCAAACAACTCAACTATTCATTCCAAACTTCCATAAAAAATCTTGGTGTTACCTTTTATCAAACCCTCTCCTAGAAACCACACATCTCCCAAATTTCCCGTCGTACTATCTCTACCCTGAAACAGTTTAACTGTCTCCGCTATCTCCTTCCATATAAATCCCATCAAATCCTGGTTTTCTCTCTTGTGTTCCCCCAGTCTGATGTCTGGGAGACTCTCGGGAGAATTCAAGGCCAAACTTAAACGCCTAATGATTTTACCTTCGGGATCTCAAGAGATACACATATTACCAATTATTATGTCAAGTTGAAGTGGTGTCAGTACTTCCTTGCTACCTTTCTATACCAGGCCATTAGAAGTCAGTGACTATCTTATATTCTTCAGAGCCTACAATTCAAATCCTCCATCCAATCCCGTCCCACCAGATCCCGTACTTCTCACATCTATCCTCCTCCTCACCGAACTACTGTGTTTGACAAATTCTTTGCAATTCAAGTCGTCTCCTTTTGGAATTCTATCCCTTCCCATATCCAACATGCACAATCAGTTTCCTCATTTACATCTCTCCTTTTTAAGCACCTACTCCTTTCCCAATCTGACTGATCACAAAATTTACTTAAGAGAACTTCTTATGTTTTATATTTTTATATATTTATAAAATAGGCGCCTTCTGACTGTCCTCTGAACATTATGAAATTGAAGGCAAGAGACATATGGAGGAGAATGGATAAAGAAAAAAAATACCCTTATTTGGAACAAGCTCTGAAAGCTAAACAAAAGGGCTATGTAACATAGAATATATTTATAAAATATCTTATGTTTTATATTTTTATATATTTATATAAGAGAGCTTCTTATGTTCTTATATTTGGAAAATGTGTATTTTTGTTTTTGTTTTCAATGCAAACCTAAATTAATTAAAGTTTATAATCATTTATTTAAAAACAAGTTTTTCCAAAAATATAAAATCGTTACAATATACATATATATATAATACAAACACACAAAAACATAAACCAAAACATAATTTTTTACAAAAAATGAAATAAAATAAAGCAAGAGAGAAAATGCTTAAAAAGGTTAGCAAAATGTTACATAAGTTTATCTTATTCAATCTACATCATCCAGAAATATAAAAGGAAGGTTAAAGATGGAGGTAAATGGCTATTTTAGTATAAATGTTACACCTAACAGAGTTGAAGAAGAAATGGAATAGTTCGTTGTGGAGAAAAGTTCTCTTTCTAAAGTTACAAACATTTTCATCACCTGAAGGAGTTCATTTATAAAATAGAAGAAAGTTGATTTTAAAGAAATCGATATATCACTTTTATTAATTTTTTAATTCATACTGAACACTATTCAAGCCTAAAGAGACAAAGCTAATAATATAAATCATCAAGAAACGTAAGTATTCTGAATAGCTACTCTATTCAATTCAAGTACATATGTATAATCATAAGAATTTGAAACACAAATCAGGAAACCTGGATTAGTTTGCTTTTTAAATATTTAAATTAATAAGGTTTTACAAGTAAAAAATCATATTTACAGCAGGAAATGGCCACAGTGCAATACTATAATTTTAACCAAGTATACTACAAAAAGTGTAAGGTATATATGTATAAAAGGAGCAGAGGTATATTTAGAATTTTTGGAATTTTAGTAAGGGCAAAGAAAGGTAAAAGCAAGCAGGTTGCACATTTTGTAGTGCTTTTAGAATAAACCTGCCAATTAAACTAATTTATTTATTATATATATATATATATATATATATACTTTTTATGATTTCATCAATATAACATCAACAAATGCTGATATGATCAAAATTAATAGTTTCTTCTTATTGTTATTCAGTAAGAAAAAGGAAAAATAATACTGATCATTTATGTATTTCTCATGAGATTCATTCTCTTGGCATAAAAAAGTTATATATTATGAAACAGAAAAGAAAATGGAAACAGAAAATAGGACTGAATGTACAAGTTGAAAAAAAAATCTTATGCTAATTATAAAGAAAAGAGAAAAGAAAATAGAAACAGTTCAAAATAACCCATAATGCAAAGAGATTGCAAGCTCTTAGGAGAAGGGTTTTCTCGCAATAACACACTCACCATCTGACTCCCATCCACATCGGAGAGTGACTTCTGTCGTACCACATCGCGCATTTTGCGTGGGTATACGTCATTCTGATCATAATAAAGTACAATGGTAAAAATAAAGCAACAAAAAATTTTTTTTTATAATATGAAAGTGCCTTTATTTAAAAAAAATAAATATAAATAAACACAACTAAATTATTATCTACTTTTAGATGAAAAATAAATATAAACAGAAATAAAAAAAAAATATATGAACTTAAATTGAGACACTTTCATATCACTTTGGAAATAAAAATAAAATAATAATGAAACATACAAAAACAAAATAAAATATAAGGAAGTAAAATAATAAATTAATTACTATTCAAGAGCACATAAATATTTTCGATAAACAACCTGTCCTACAGGTATTTGCATTTGTTTACATCAATAAAGTTGACCCAAAAAGTAATGACAAAATAGATTTGTACTTACTATACAGAATGGTGCTTAGAATAATCACATATTGTAGGACTTTAAATTGCAACAATTTAAAGAAATTAACCGATAAAAACAATACATTTTTCTCTTGAAGAATAATCCAGCATGTAAATTTATCAATCTTTAAACTTTCTTTAATGTATAAAATTTTAATTCATTAAACAACTGAAAAATGCATAAGAATGTATATAAATTAAATGTCATATGAGTTAGTGGGTAAGAGTGTGTGCCAACATCCTAATTTCAAAATATTCAACTTAATGAAATACTTTCAATTAAATTAATATGTATTAGATAATTTTGTATGTAAATGAGCTAAATTAATTTATATTATAATTAATCTCCATCTATTGGAAGATGTGGTATATCAATAACCTGGAGATATTATTGACGTAGCATTGGATAAATATTAGAATAATATAAAATGATATACAAGATAAATATAATAATAATATAAAATGATATACAAGATAAATATGATATTAATTTGAAAACTAAATATATGATGAAAGGAAACTATCAATAAATATTATTAAGTATTAATAACTAAGTATATATTTTCTATAAAAGATAAATAGATGGGCTTCAATAATGAATTAATTATTTCACAGTTGCCTTAGAAAATTTGCCCCTAGGGTCTTTAGTTTTCATCAGAACTGGTGTCAAGTGTTATTTTATAACTTTTATCAGCAAGTTAAAGATTTGTATGAAAGGAACAAGATCCCCACAAAACACATTCCTTCAATTTATTGTCTCACAGTCAATCAAGTTTTTATTGGAATTTCACTTCCCCTGGCTTATATGGATTGTTGAGGAGTTAGGAAAGAGAAGATAGATCCCAAAGTAGGTTTATGTTTCTTGACTTATTTTCACTAACAAGTAGAATCCAACCAATTTTTTTTACGTAATAATGCAAAATAAACTAAAAAATGACTTTAATAAGCTAAACTTGGATATTTCTGTGGTTATTGATTTATTAAATAAATATGCAATCTTCAGGTTGTTTGTTTCAGATTTAAGAATATTTGTTTGAGATTTAAGACTGGAAAATAGTATTTTTCCCTATCATATAGAGATCATGTCACAACTTTTCCCTAGACGTGTATTTTACTAACTAATCAATACTTGAAAAACTAGACATAGATGTGTGATGCCACTTAGTCCACCTTATTAGAGCAGCAATCTTAAACGAAAGAGTGGAATAAACTTATAAAAATAGATTAAAAAAAAATTGTTTAACATAATCACTTTAAATCTGATGTTTTCCATAAATTCACCCATCTATAAGAGAAAGTAAAAATTATAGGTGACACAAAGTATTTATTTAAAACAATTATTTACCATACATTTTCCTCATCTGTTTAATGAGTTAAATTTATGCGTTTAATGATACTCTCCATTATCTTTAAAGACTGTATAATTTAGATATTAATTTTTCTAAAACTTTTATTATTACAATTTTATGTATGTCTGCAATATTATTTTTATTTCTAGAAATTTTATTTTTTATTTCCCTTTAATTATTTAAAAAAAATCTTTTATAGTTTATATTTAGTTATATTTTATTAATTCTAACAATAAGGGATGTTAATTATTACAAACAAACACAATTAGATATACTTCTGAGGAAACATTTTTGTCAACTCGTCATTTCAGTCAATTATTATTTTAATTATTAATGTCATTTATTTTGTCATGAGTAACATGTATATCAGTTTATTGTAAAAAGTCACTAAGTACATATTCGATGGAGCTAAACTTTTAAGTTCCCTGACTCTGAAAAATTAAAATGAGTAACATATGATTGTTAATAGATATCAACCTCTAAAGAAGCAGTAAATAAAACATTAAGTATGAAGTATCCCAGAATGATCCGGAATAATCAGTCAGTGGCAAATAATCATTTATTCTGTTTATCAGCTTTGGATTGACTCTGGAGTTGGGAGACCCTATAAAGCAGGTTGCAACCTGAAGGTTTGTTTTATTTATTTATCATTGCTAAAAAATAATATGCATATGAAGAAGAAACTAAAATTTGGATGGATTTATTTATGTTGTATGTAGTATGTCCATGGGATGACGGGTAATGTTGAATATGAGCAGAGAGCTAAACAAAGAAGGATGCAAATTGAATAAGCAATGGACTGCACAAACAGTTTTTGATGGCACATTATAACAATTTGCAAGGGGATAACTATAAGTAGACAGTAATAAAGATTGTTATCCGAACAGCTTCAATATCAGACTGGCTCATGTTTTTGAAGTGGTCTAGTTCTTGGCACAATGGGCACCAATCAATAGAAATGTTTTCATACTTCAGACAATTTTAGTGGTAAAAAAATTATATTTAATATCTGGTCAGTGGGAAAAAATTCAAGCATGAAAAATTCTGTACTACATAAAAATACTTTTATGGCAAATATTTTATTTTTGTAATAGTTGAGAGACTAATTTTCACAAAACTAATGAGTGAAATTCTTCTATCATAGAATAGAGTCATATTAGATATATAATTTTAAACCTACTTATTTATGAAAAATTATTATTACCTCAATCAAATACTAACAAACAACCATCACATTCTGTTTCAAAATCCAGACTAACAACTCGATTTAAAACTATATAACTATAAATATACTGCTTATCTATAGTGTTGATAAATGCTTCAGAGTAAAATGCTAAGATCAAATACCTGGAAAATATTTGAACGTGAGTTCCGCTGCCCCTGTGGTGGTGCTGGAGGAGGAGGAGGAGCTGCAGCTGGTGTACCTTCTTTCTCCTTTTCCTTTTCTTTAGCTTCCTTCTTCTTATCCTTCTCTTTTTCCTTCTTTTCCTTTTCCTTCTCTTTTTTCTCTTTCTTTTGATTTTTTTGATTCTCCTTCTCCTTTTTTTCTTTTTTCGGCTTAGGAGGTTTAGGTTCACCACCTTGGCAGCAGGAGCTTTCTTGAAGAAGGAAACAGAAGACATATAGCAAGAAAAGAATGCTCATTCCATATAGGTAGGTAAAAAATCCCTGGAAATAAATTATAGGTTAATAATACAATTGAATTAAAAATTAGCAATACAATTTAATTGTAAATTAATAATATAAACAAACAATTTTTATTTCTCTTATTATTTTTTGGAATAAAAATCAATATGAATTTATCAATATGGAAACATTAGAGAATTCAAATTGTTAGGCGAAGAGATTGGTGACATCTGATGCTAAGGCCTTAGAATTATCTATTATGAGAAGCAATGAATGATTAAACTATTTACCCACACTAAGTATAAAATAAGTCCAATTTTAACATATTTTATTAAACAATGAGATATTTCAGCATCTAAGATTTACAATGAATATTTTTATTAAATTTTATCTATTTCGATAATTTTTCTAATCTACAAATTATTTTACATAATAAAATAGATTTGCTTATTGACTTGAAAATTGAATTTAATGATATTTGATTGATCACCTTAAGCCTCCACAGTTAGTATAGTTATTTTTAAGATCAGGCCTAAACCCAAACAAACCGGAACTTTTATTGCTAATTAGGGAACTGTAAAACACCAAAACTTTAGGAAAGAAATCCAATATTAATACACTAGGGCCAATTTAATAAAAAGCTGGTTCCCTAAGTAAGAATTTAAATAAATTTGAAAAAAAAAGTTCAATGGCATCTCAAATGGCATAAAATAAAGCAAATGCCCTACCTGTAGCTGTTCTTAATTTCTGCAAGTAGTTACATGTATTCATTCTTTTTCCGAATAGTCAAGTGCATTGTGACAACTTAGCACTCTTGTGAGAAAGAGTTCCAGTTCGATTTTAGCCAAAGTGGATTGAATTTAGAACATAGGCGACCCAGGAAATAGATTAAACTAGAGAGGGCATGGTAGGAAAACGAATGTGCCTAAGTACGTAAAAATACAAATAAAAACACCTGAAAGGCAGGTACAAATAAAAACATTAGTAATACATATCTTTTTATAGTTATTAAAGAAGATGAGCTAGAATAAATTTTTTCGAGCTTAGTTTTCGACATTATCAAGTTATTGCAGGTTTGGACATTAGCATGTGGCATCCCTATTTAAAACAGAAGGAAATTTGGATTCATAGAATGATTTTTTTTTCGATATAGGCCAGGTGAAGAGGGTGAGTTACTCATTAGTTCTTGGCTTTCCTTTCAGCCTAAACTTTCTTCTTTTTTCACACATTTCCTTTTTCCCTTTTTTTGTCTATTTCCTTCCTCTCTTTCTTCTGTTTTCTACTCCAAGGATCATCATCTTCATCTTATTCATTGTTCCTCTGAATTTATTCCTAAATAGGTACTCTTCTTTTATTCCAAGTCTTACTATTTCTTCCTTTATCTCTTCAGGATATCTTTTGATGTTTTTCAGCCCCATCACTTTGTCAAATATCTGTTTGTTTATCCTACCTTCCTCATTTTTTTTTTCATGTGACCAAAGAATTTGAATCTCATTTTCTTCATTGTTTTTTTCTGATTTTCGACATGTTCATACAATTCTTGATTCACTCTAGGGTGGTACTTATCTCCCATCTTTCTTGGTCAATGGATACACCTTAATATCTTCTTCTTTACCTAAATAGCTTTTCAGTACTAGTGAATCTCATTGTCTCCATTCCATATAATATTAAGGGTTTAACTACTGTTTCATAGTGTCTTAGCTTTGCTTTTCTGGACATATTCTTCTTGTTATGTAGGTTTTTAACTAGATACCTAAGCCTGTCTAACTTCACTTCCTGTTCTCCATTGACTGTAAATCATTCCCATTGTATTTCATGAGTTTTCCTATGTATTTGGATAGTCTGGATATCAACGTATTTAATTGTAATTTTCTTTCCAGTTTCTGTGTTACTGGTCATGATTTTTTGTTTTCTTGATGGATATATTTAATCTTGTTTTGTTTTTTTCAGCTATTTCCTTTAGTTCTTCTATCTGGTTTAATGCTTCCTGCGTGTGCTCTGCCAACAGCAGTGCTAAATCTTCCACATAGAATAAACATCTAACTTCTACCTTATCTTTCCCTAATGATTCGATGATTTTATATTATATTCTTTTATATTTTTTCCTAAACAAAGTAATTCAATTTTTTGTACAAATGGATAAGTCATTATTTCATATTTTGAAACTCATTTCTCTTAAATGAAAACATGCTTCAATGCCATATGACCCGGAGGAACAGTTAAATAATACTAATTGTATTATTTCATAGTGCTCCCACTGCTTGGATTCCACACAAAACAGTAGGAATATGTCTTAAATTACAAAATAGTAGAGCCCTTCAAAGAGATTTTTTTTTATGTCCTTCCGTAAGACAATTTTTTTATTTTACCCATAGGATAACTTATTTTGGAATTATACTTGAAAAACAACATAATATACCTTAGAAGGCGGTACCCAAGTGATGGGGGAATAAGAGCATTCTTCTGTGCTAAATGGGAGAAGATATGTCTAGTTTATTTTATTCTCTGTTGGGGAACCAATAGAATAAATTTTAACATTTCTAATTTGGCTAGAACAGGATGCTAACTTGTAGGATAAACTATCATCCTTGACCAAGTAAGAAATACATAAAGACTTTATATCTCAATGAAAAATTATTTTTTTTTTGCAAAAGTTCATTCCAGAAATTTCCCTCTTTTCTATAAAATTTTTGAGCTGGCCACTTTAAACTCTGATACATGCAGAGCAGAATATATAAATGTGCATTATTACAATAAATAGTTTACATGAAGTAATTTGTTGTTGAAAGAATCTTCTCGTGTAAGACTCAGTATTCAGGAATGGTCTATTGATAATACCTAGCACTACTTTCCTTCCATAGAGAGTCCACCGCAAAATATCAACAAACTACCTTTAATTAAATCCTCCCAGTAATGATTCAGAATAATTCTTACCTGGCATTCGGTAAGGTAAATTGCCATTGAGCAGTGTGGCAAAGTTGATGTCGGGTGGCTCTATAAATCTTACCAATCTAGGTATTGTCTAATGAAGATTAATTTTTTCTTTCCTTTTTTAAAATAAATTTTATAAACATATCAATCATAAACCAGTTAAAAAAACTGAAATAGTGCAAAAACTATTATTTTTTTTTTGAGTCAACTGAAACTCCTCGCTGTACACACATCTCTGAAGAAGACCAGCTTGTTGTTGGGTCGAAACGTTGGCTTAAAATAAAATATTTTTTTCACTATTTCGCTCTTTTTATGACCACCATCCTTACTCAATAATATACAATGGCCTACCATCAAGTATTCAATAAACCAGTTAATTTATATGGTGCAGTAGCAAATGTATGATATATATGGCACAACTTTTGAATACAAAATGAACACAAAATTTTAAAACTTAAAATGAAATAATCATATTTTGAAATATAATTAAAAAGGTGGGGCTATCAATAATTTAAAATAATTAATAGATTAAACTGATAACTTACTTCATAATATACGAGCGGTAAGCTGTGAGTCACTACCTCAGAAACCACATAAGCAACGCATATGACAACCAAGAGTTTTGCATATATAAAGCTCATTATGATGAATAGGGAAGTCCTAAAAAAAAAAAAAAGAAAATGCCTATTATTGTTAAAAAGTGGTATTTAATTAAATAAATATTGACATGTGAAAATTAAGCAGGGAAGAGTTGTTAATGGACAACTCATTGCCGCACTAGTAGATAAAAAGGGATGGTTCAGGCAGCAATGCTTCATTGCTGAGAACCATGAGACCATAAGATAGTACCTGAACTGAAGAGATGGTCTTGAAGAGATGAGAATAAATGGATGTTCTTATACTTAGGTTTGCTTCTATGGTGAGTTGAATGCTTATCATAATAGTTAATTAGAAAATGATGAAAATGATTATAGATTAGAAAATGAAAATGAAATTATAAGAAGGGCAAAATAAATAAAGAAGAAGAAAATCTATATCCTATTGAAATCATTTTTAGTAATTTGAGTGTTCTTTCTATAGCTGAGATTACTTATTTTTAGGAAGACATAATGCTTCTATGGAACTTGTTCTTTGGCCATCAGTAATATATATAACAAAGAAATTACTACACAAAAAAAAAAATATTCCATGACATAGCCACTTTGTGTTTATTACTTACTACCGTGTGGTCTATAATTATAGATCGATCCCAATATATTATTTTATTATATTTTGACAACACCAATTTGGGCTCATATCGACAATAAGGAACCTCATCTGTTGCCATTTTATTTAATGAGGCCAGAGCTCAATTTTAAGATCAACATCTTGCTTTAGCTAAAAGCAAGTTACTAGTGATAGTTAACTTTAATATAATGATAATTTGTACTGGTTCATAGGAATATTCTTTTTAAACACTTATTATGAACTGGAACATGTTATCATCCGACAGGGTGTAAATATTAAAAAAACTGAAATATCTCTGGTACTCCAAATGTGTCATTAAGTGTCAATTAAAAGTTATATTTAACACAGTAGTTCCAAATAGAATATACATTTTCTTACCTTCTCCTCAATCCTTTACAAATATGGTTTCCATTCCCATTATTCCACCCAATCTGCCTTGCTAAGGATTACCCAATCCAATCCAATCCATAGGCAAACAGAAAATCTCCATCCTTTCCTTTTTTCCAAACTCCAAAGCCTGCCCAAATCAAATAGCGCCCTAAAATGGTTTATTTCCTTCTTATCTAGTTGATTTCAGACAGTTGTAATTCCGAAGAAACCTCCATTGTCACCCCTTCAATTAACTCAATGTGTTCTTTAGGGTTCCTCACATTTCCCGAAGCTTTTCTCTATTTACATTAGTGACCTTTCTGACGCCAATCAACATTCCTGTTACCACCAATATGCCGATGATTTCCAAATTTACCAATCATTCCAACCTTCTGAGATACCTGAAGTGGTCCGAAAACAACAAGAGAACATTGATTGCACCAACAGATGGGCAGAAATAAAAGAGTTAAAACTGAATGCAGATAAAAGTAAGGCTATTCTCATCGGGTCCAGACATCTCATTAGTCCCCTTCCTTACTTTCCTCTACTTTACCTCAATAACCATCCCATCAACTTTTCCTTGCAGTCAAAAACCTAGGAGTAACCTCTGACCAGAACCTCTCTTGGAATAACCATATCTCTCAGATCACCCGAAAATCCATAACTGTCCTTAAACAACTCCTAAGATTTCGTGATTGAATTCCTTTAAAACCTAGACAGCTCCTTTATATTCCCCACTCGACTACGGCCGCTTGGTGTATGGAGGGCTATTTGCCAGGCTAGAAATATGACTGAAAAGACTCATAAACTTTTTTTTTTATAGGGTTCTCCCCTTTCTCGCCGTTAAGGCTATATGGGGTTTCCCCGGGTCAGAGGGTGTGGGCGGGAATTTCAAAGATGCCTTGGCACCGGGATGCGAACTCAAGACTATTTTTCTATCATTTATCATATATCAGGTTGCCGGACAACGGTGGTGCTGTGCACAACGCGTTAGCCCATTCGGCCACCCCGCCCACAAAGACTCATGAACTGTTTTATAAGATACATCTTCGGGACCCTCAGGCGTTCCCATGTTTCATTCTGGTTCACCGGCTTGAAGTGGTTTGATCCTATTTCCCGACGAAAATTCCTTCTTGGTGTTTTCCTTTTCCAAGTCCGCAGAACCAAAAACCCTCTCTACATCCTGGAACTCGTTACTCTACGTTCTTTTATCGACTCCCTTAATACCAGGTGTTAACCTATAGATTTATAAATCCCTTTCCATAAAACTACTTCCTTCAGCAAATCCTTCGTTATTCCTGCTGTCTCCTTTTGAAACTCTCTTCCTACCTCTCTCTATACGTCAATCCTCGACCACTAATTCCTTCAAACAGCTCCTGTTCCACCATCTACTCCACAATCAAACTTTTGCAAACATGGAAAATTACTTGCGTGTTTTCACTGTTTAATTCAATCAACAGCACAATAACAATTAACAGTTAATTAGTTTGTATTCTTAGGGGGACTGTAGTCACAGAATTAAATTATTTTTTCATTTCATTTCATTCTTCATAAAAAAACAAACAGTTTTTATGGCTAGATTTGATTTATGATACAGAGCGGATTCGAAAAATTAAAAGTGGTTATTAACTTAGATACTTAATATACACACTCACTATGAAACAGGTTCATTTAGAATGTCATTTGCTCTACAAAGTCGTGTTGGCTAAGCGGGGATACAGGCTAATTAACTGAGGTTTGTATAGAGCGAGGCTGTGTGAGAGCGAGAGACATAGAACAAGTGCTGGCTCACGACCCGGAGCCGAGGTGCTGTCGAAGAGAAAGGCACCCACAGGCCCTGCTAGCGGTACCACTGCAGCTTGCACTGCTAACGGTGCCGGGTCCCGCGGGGGTGTAATGCTCTTCGGCGAGCAGGGGTATGTCAGGGATGTGCTGCTTCCAGAATCAGAGCCAATCATACAGGCCATGACGTGGAACCGAGTTTGGCATTTGTCGAATGAATTTTAAGTCATGCACTACCTATCATACGGTATCATAAATCCCTTTTCCGGTTCTCAGGAGTGATAGATTTTAATGAACGAGGTAACAAACTAAATGGAATTTTATGAAAATGTGATGAACTCCAACAAACCAAAAGGTTATTCAAAACGAAAAACCTAACTACAAATACAAAAATCTAATGCGCGCAACATACAACTTTCACTTACTGCTTTACTTTGAATAGAAATTATCTTCTGGCAATGTTGGGCTATTATAAATTTTTTGATGCAGCAACAGCTTAAAGCTTACCGATAACAAATCAGTAAGACCTTAAAATTACAAAAACTTTATTTATTATATCGACGGTAGACATTAAAAATCTGCTTTAATGAACCTCAGTCTCTGAGTTTTTCAGTTGACAGAATGACTAACTCAAATTTCAACATTTTTGAGTAATGTCACTTTTTGTGATATTGCTAGTTGGAAAAGTTATAGCTATACAGAAAGTGAGTGCATTGATTCTAGAGTAAGTGATTGCGGTGTTGAAATATAGAACTGTGAATACAGATATAAATTTTGACACTAGAAACATCACTAAAATTAATAATAAAGATATTGAGATTGGAGTGAGTCATTCTGTCAACCGAAAGGCTCATATATACCTAGAGACATTTGAAAGTACATTTGAATATTTAACCTATAAATGATTATGGATTGTAGGACTATTAGTTATTTAACTGTTATTTTCCATTGTAGAGTTTACTAAAATTAAATTTCGAGATTTTCATTTCCTGCCATGGATAGGTCAAAAGTTGTCACACTAATTGTAAATGGATAATTTGGGATTTCGCAAAGGGAAAATTCATTAAATTATTTATTAATTTAATTCTTTAAATACAAGCACTGAAATTAAATGTTTATAAATAACCAAAATTCGCGAATTTGAATTTATTAGTGCGGAAAGTTATTGAATGTTTGCATTGTTCGAAACTCATTTTTTTTTTTTTCTAAGCCCTATTTTGTAATTTTACGAAACGAGCTTCTCAATTTTTTTCACCAGGTTATAAAACACATTATCTGATTCTACAGTTTTAGTTGTCATTTTGAGAAAGTCCACGGAAGTTTTGTTTAAGAAATGAATAGCTTTTTGCTGTTGCATTCAGAAAAGTTAAAAGTATTTTTCTTTCTGTAACCACATTTCAGTAGGATTCGAGCATTATCTCTTTTTCTTAATTTTTTTCAAAATATTAGACTTTTGGGAAAATTGTATCTAATGAATATTAATAAAATCCATATTGCTATTGAACTGTTGGTGAGGACTTAGCCTTATACCATATATATCCTCATACGAGATATACCCTTCTAAGCGCATGTTATCAGACAAATGTGCACCTGTTCTGATAAATTTTGTAATTATTGCGAAAAACTTTGTACTACAATAAAAATACATTAAATTTGATAAACTATTTTAATTATTATTTAGATGCCAAATTTTAAAGTAAACATAAAGGGATAAAACCTGATAACTGTATCCGTTTTCTTTTTGTGAGGAAAATATTTCATCGTGTGATTGTATTCTATTTTCCATAGGAACAGAACGGCCCTTGTTCCCTTAACTTCAGGAGCATGAAATGATAGTTTAAGGGATTTTATTCCTATTTTTAAATAACAAGTTTTTTGTTGTTTTTTAAGCATCGTTATCCTAATAATAAATAATATAACTTATTAAAACTTATTTTGGCGATTTTTTATAGCACGAACTTATAGTACAAAGAGGTATAGCAAACAAATGTTTTTAATTAAGAGTTCTTAAAATAAACATTAAGAAATAGATCATATAAACGTTACTTTTTTAATTGGGATGTTCGCAAATACTATACAAAGTTTTAAGAAGGTGTTAAAAATTTACTAAAAGTTTGCATAAATTATTAAAATTTATAATTTGGACATCTTATTTTAGACATCTAAAAATCTCTAAGCTGAATTCATAGCTTTGGTATTTAGCAATGTTTTAATGCGATTAATATTATATAATGAAAACATGATGAAATAGATGGTAAAAAAATGATGAGTACTAGAAGTTAAGTGGCTGAGAAGCTTCAAAATTAACGTATTGTAGCATTTTTAATTCAACTTTCGTAAAACTATATTTTTGCATCCCTTATGAACTTTAGTTAGTTCCATTGTTTCAGAAAGTTTCTGCAATATCCAGTAACTTATTTGACGTACGTGTAGATTATTTTACAACAATTTATCAATCTAAACTTCATTTGTAAAATAGAAAAGAAAATTTAGTCTGCTACAGATAGTATGCATACATGTTTAAGAAATATATCATAAATCTGTAGCCCGAATACAAAAGACATCATTTATATTTTTATTAAATAATTTAGTAACTAAGAAACAAATTTCAATACCTCAAAGTTATGGAATATTGGCTTCTCCGAACAAATACAAAAATGGACATGATGTCCTGCACCTCCGGATTACAGATTTAGTAACCAAGAAACAAATATTAATAGCTCAAAGTTATGGAATATTGGCTCCTCCGAACAAATACAAAAATTGACATCATGTCCTCTACCTTTGGAGTACCGAAATAATAACCGAAGTAACTTGAAAGCCAACAAATCAAATCATTTTAAAGAAATTTTGGTTCAGCCCTGTATGTAACTAATTAATAACTGATGTATATATTTTTAATTTTTTAAATATACTTTTACTGAAGATACTGTATATATTCTTTAATGTTGATTAACGTAATTTTTGGCCAGATGTACTTTTTATTTTTTTGCTCATAACTGTTATTCATAAGGGACCCGTCCCAGAATAAAGTTTATTTTTTATCTATCTATATGCGCATTTCCATTTCTAATAAAAAATATTTATATGTACCAGGAAGATGCTAATTGAGAAAAACTATTTTTTTATTTCTTGTAGATTGTGAAAATAAAATAACAAATTTGAACAAAATCAGAATTTTTAATGTATTCATACATGAGTATGAAATTTTTATTTTATTAAGAAAGTTTTATACTTTGAAATAAAACAATATTTTGTTTATTTAAACAAGTTTCATTCATAAAATATAAATTTTAAAGAGAAGACTTTGCCTCCATCTTATCATAATAAGGTGAACGATTTTGGAGCTATGGTTCAACCCAGTTCCTATTCCATTTCTATTTTAAGACCAAAGTCAGTGACCTATCATGATAGGTCAAACGTTCTTGCAGGAGAAACATAAACTGTTATTTACATACATTTCAGGATGCAGGTCAGGTTCAATCGATTTAGGTAATTGATATTTTGGACAGTTAACGCTGATGCAAGAAATACGTGTAAAATAAACTTAAAAATCTTAGTAATAGTTATTAAGTATTAAAATTTATACTAATCTAATATTTCGTTTTTAATTTATTTATAGAGTGATGAAGTTTGGACTCTAAAGTACAACTTATTTATTTCGGTACCCGAGAGATTAATGAAAGTACAATTTTGCGCGATATCTATAGTTAAATGTTAAGTTTCGGAACAAGAAAGTTTTTGACAAACCCTGAGTTACATTCATTCTTGATTCAATAACCACCGACCGATCAATTGGCGAAATCTATGAAATAAAATATCTTTAGAGCGAATATTTATAATTTTATTTATTTGTTTTCACTTTTGTTAGTACATCAAAAAATAAAGACTTTTTATTTGTTTCAAAACAATTGTTATATTTCAAACGATAGACATTTCAATTGTGACTTCTGGAGGAAATGCAGATGGGAATTGTGGCTTTAATTGGGAAGTCGATGTTTCTTTCTAATTAATAGGACGTCATTAGCAATTTAAGAAAGAAAAGAAAACGGGGCAATTTACATGAAATGAGATACGTGCTTGCTCTAATTTTGCTACTTTTTAATCATTTGCTTTTGATTATTAAATTGATGGGCGTCATGAGATACTAAACGGCGCACAGTGAGACGAAACGCTCGATTATCTGGCAATCGGTTTTCACCCAGATATTTCCTTGTAATAATTTTAATGGTGTTTATATTGTTTATACTTTGTCACACTAATCGAATAGTAAATTACTTAAGGAAGTATGAGTAACGTGGAAGTTTTTATTTTTTTTATTTTCTATACTGACTTATAACCCTCTTTTAAATCAACCTATTCTAGATTAAAAAAAAAAATGCAATTGTTATATATTTAACAGGTTTAACTTCAAATGAAAATCCTCTGTAAACAGCGGTATTTAAAAAAAATCCATATATAAATAAAAATATTCTACTTAAACACCGAAGATACTTAATAAGTAATATAAGTTTATCTTATCCTTGCGTAAGTGTTATTAGTCACCTTACAGAATACATTATACATAAATAAAAAATGTAAGTAAATTTGATTAAATTTATAACGGAATAATGAAAAGGAATATTAAAACGAAATCCCAAGGCTAGACTGTCAAAAAACATACAACAATATTTAATGAACTAATAATCATAAGCTATTATGATATTCAAGATACGATGCATCGTTTGATCCTCTAAATTCATATTTAATTATTATTCGTTGCATGTATACAGAAAATATAAAATTTATAATAATTTGAATGTTTCATAGTTACAATGTTCACGAACGACTGCGAACAAAAGTATGCACTAATGCCAAAAATCAGAAAAAAAAATGTAAGAAAAAGGATAAACAAATATCTCAGCATTCTCAATTTTTAAGATTATCAGAATTTCAATCTCTTAGAAGACTCAAAAGTAAAATATATTACATACATAACGATAACGATTACATTTTACGACGACGTTACGTTTTATAACAATCAAGTGCGTGTTCGCAGTTACTTCAGGAATTATCAAAATGATTAGTCCTTAGCTTCAATTTTTATTAGAAAAATGGAATTAAATTACAAAGCAAGGTAGGAAGTTGATAAAGTAGATATTGATGAAAAGAGTGGAACAGTAGAGAAGGATACAAC